ACACGCAACCTTTTGTGTCGCTGTGCAGCATCTGAGTGAGAGTCAGTGAGAGTGTGGGTTGAGGGAGGGACGTGGAGTGTGACAGAGAGAGAGAGAGAGAGAAAACAAGTACAGCTAAAAAAGACAGAACCTTAAACCCTAAGTGGCCCTAACTCAGCCCAATCCAGCATTTTGGCTCAATCACGCTCAGATCGAGAAACAACTTGCCATTTGGGCTCAACGGGGCTCGTCCTGTGAAAAACTACTCTGCGCAAATTGGGACCGACGTAGCTGGATTGCAGATGCAATGGTTGCACCCAACAAACTTTAAAAAATGGTTCGTCTCGGCTCAGAGCCAGGCTCAAACCACAGTTCCAGACCAGAAAAAAACTTCCAAAGAGAAGCGGGCCCATGCCCTGTCAGGAGTCAGTGGGATTTGGTGTGAAAGCCAGGCCAAAGCACAGTTCCAGACCAGAAAAAAACTTCCAAAGAGAAGCGGGCGCACGCCGTGTCAGGAGTCAGTGGGATTTGGTGTATTTGGTGCTGGGTGCTCCATGTGAGGTCAACATGCGCTTGCCCAATTGACCCCGTGAATCCTAATAGTGTTGACATGACCTCTGGCCTTGACGCAGCATCTTCCACTCGACAGTGTGCTCTTTCCAGAGGTTTTGACGTGGCAACCCGTGCGCTTACCCAAGGGCCTGGAGCTATGTGAGTTGGGCCTGCCATACATACCTGCGCCTAAGTGTCGCTGTGAGTACCTGGCTGCAGAGGCTATCCGGGATCGTTATGTGACCTTTGAGCTGCTCATGCGCCTAGCCAAGACCCTCCCTAATGCCAAACCGCGTGCCATTGCCTTGGGAGGTGGCGCCGGGACACACTGCGGAGCAACACACTGCGGAGCAACGTCGACCTTCTATGGTGGCGTTTTCGCTGGAGGGGGGCTTCATGGCTTGCGCGCATCAATGCGTACTTATCCCTGGTGCAAACTGCTACTTTCCACGTTCATTCGGAGCTGCGCGCATCTTCCTTTCACCAGCCTTGGTCTGCGCGTCAATCTGGAGCATGCCGTGCACGTTGACAAGGGGAATGAAGCTGGCAGTCTGAATTTTATTATCCCGTGCTCAGCCTTTGTGGGAGGTGGTTTGTAGTTGGAGCAAGCATCGGGGACGGTACTTTCAAATGGTGTATATGGCCACGTATTGCCTTTGCAGTTGCCTGGAGTTGCCTTCAACCCCCTGGCTCGGTGCCAAACCTGTGCATGGGAAGGCGATCGGCTAGTCGTGGCTGCGTGCAGTGCCAAAAAAGTGGAACTACACAAGGAGGGAGATCTTCGCAAGCTGCTACCCTTTCATTTTCACACTGCATCGTGTGAGTGATGGTCATTCCGCTCGCGCTCGCGGGGGGTAAAATGGTGGCAAGTTGCGCTGGTCTCTCGTGTGTGATTCAAAGAGCTTTCGTTTGCGCGTCGCAGGGTAGCCGGTAGTAGACTGAGCCGTGCTGTACATGCGTGAGTGTTACCTTGTAGCTAGCCGCGGCGCTGTACATACGTGCGCGCTGCGTATTGTACATATTTTGTAGTCTGTTCTTGCGAGGGTAGGTTCTTCTTTTGACAGTACTTGGGCCCACACATGTGGGTGCCGATAACGTCATCTGCCATTTCTTTCGGAAATGCCTGTGTCACGCTGAGACTAATCACCAGTCTGCGTTTCAAAGTCAAAAAAAGACAGCCTCGCGGGCGCGAGACATACAGCGAAGCAATCGCGATCCGCCCCCGTTCAGACGAGTGGCCAGACGGGCGACCCCCTCTGCCAACATCTCACCCACACTTCATGCCCGTGTTCTTTCAGCTAATGCCTTGTGTGAGTACTCAGGATGGGTGTTTGCTGAAGCTTATCGGCGTGGCCTCTTTGCAAGCCTAGAAAACCCCTCCCGGTCATACTGTTGGCAATGTTCCGGACTCCTCCAGCGCATGCGCAAAATCCCCGCCTTCAGAACGTATTTGGACTTACTGCGTGTGCCAGGGATCGCGCCCGAAGCCCACACAGCTGTTTCATCTTTTGCCGCAACTTTGCTGCCTGAACAAGCAGTGCGACCAGCAGCATCAGTGGGCAGAATGGGGAAGGGTTGCTGGAGGGTGGGCGACGGCCCAGGAAGCGGCCTACCCAGTTCAGCTTTATAAGGAGTGGGCTCATTTATTAATCCAGGAGCTGCTTGATCTTGGGGCCGAACCATTGCCCACTAGCCTTGCTGAGGTGCACGCGCAGCTACCTCATCACAGGCTGGCAAAAAGCCACCGCGTCTGGTCAGCTGAGTTCAAGACCTTTGCAGGCGTCTCAGGCCTTTTTGCAGCCTTACCTTCCGGCAAGCGTAAGCACGGCTTCCAAATTTGCCGGCCAGTGTCATGCAACCCTACCATAGCAGACCTTCCTGCAGGTTCCAAGGTAGTTGGTCCGCCTGTCATTCAGGGGGGTGTGGGTGCCGCAAGTGACCTTTCCTTTAATTCTCCTCCCAATGTTAGCCTGTGTAGGGGATTTAGGGTGGTCGCCCGTGTCGCAATGCACCATTTGGGGGGCCATTGTTTCAGTGCCAGAATCCCAATGCCGCGTCCTCCGCTCCTAGGGTTGGGTTTAGGTCCCATTCCTTTGAGGATCTTCTGTGTTTTGGTTCTGACCCAAAACCCCTTGCCCAAAAGCAGAGGCTTGAAGGTCAAACCTGTGCCACTGTTAATGGAGCCGGGGAGCTGGCCATCCGCCTTTGGGAGCAGGACATTCCTTTGATGGGGTCAGATGTGGAGCGCTTGTGCCGCCATCTTCCTCTTCAATGCCCCCACCAGGCCCAAAGCCAGAGTAGTGGGGTCTTCTATGCAGGCATGTTTCCAAAGGCGCCGGCAATGCAGGAATGCACGCGGTGTGCAAGACTCACCCCACTTGCGTCAAAGTCCTCACACGAGCAGTCCAAGGGCATGCCTATGCAGCCAGCCTTCACATCAGCCGATGCTTATTTTATGAAATATGGCCTATAGAGATTGTCTGAAGACATGGTTTGAATACGTCTTAATGTGGGAGCACTGTGACATAAGGTCCAGAAAAGTGTGCCGAGTCTGCCTGAAAGGTCACAGTGGCAAACCGGCGACTACTATTGATATTCTTAGTCCCGGCCTTCTTCCAGGTGCTGAGGGCATTCGCCAGCGCGCAGACGCTATGGGCGCACGAGCGGGCTTGCGTCGTCCGTACGATGTTCAAACATATCCCATGGTGGGTCCAAGGCATCTCCTGCATAGTGACAGAACATGAGGCACATTGAGCCACAGGAAACTTAGCTCTACTAAAATTGCGGGTTGGCGACCGCAAAAATGTGTACAAGCTAAACAGCTAAAAACGTTTTTATCTCTGCGAGCGTAGCACTACAGCTTCTCGTGTAAGCTTTCAAGAAAAACACACGCTGTCCATGCCGAAGACAAATCTCCTGTCAAGTGCCGTAATGGCTTCGTACAATGGACGAATTCTCCTGCGGATCTTACTTGCCGAGTTCCCCATCTCGCGGCGCTTGTACGAACACCCAGACATTCGGTACAGATGCACAGCTTGCCTTTTTTGTTCCAAGTGTTCAAACAAGGGCATTGCCAGCTCGTTCAGGACTCGTGCCTCTTGCAAATTTTGGGGTGCCAACTTTTTTAAAATCAACGAATTATTTAGGTCCCCACAGTATATGGTTGCGGCATGCGTGTGTAGGTTTTGTGTCGCGACAATTTCCGCGTTTTTGCGAGAACTGGGAGATGCGTTGTGGCTTTGCAGATGTACGTGCTGGCGTCGTCTGTGCGCACAGCTTTTGTTGTTGGCATCTGCATATTTTGCAGCAATGGCAATGTCGGCAACTTGGATCACATGTTGCAAATATGACAGCTTCGTTGTTGTCTTTCCAATGATGTTGCGAAACGATGTATGGGCCCATTTAGAGCAGCATTTCTTGCGATTTGTGGGTAGTTTGCTCTTGCAAAAGCACGTTGCTTGTTTATCTCAAAAAGATTGCCGGCCAGAATGTGTCATGCTACCCTGCCGAGGAGCGTTTGTGCCCCCTTGACTGTTTTCACTCCATGGTACCCCAACAGCCTTGATACTATTTCGCCATCGCCTGGACTGGAACCGGAAAGCCTTCATAGTTTCCAAGTTCACGGTCAAGACATTTGCATTTAACGACGACCAGGACCATGGCGTCGCAGTCAAACGGCATGGTGTCGAGACTTGCGATTTGTTGTGCCCAGCAAGGAAAAAACACGATGCCTCCTGCAAGGGGGTCATTCCTTGCCCTCCTTTGCTGCCTGTGGGTTCAGTGCCTCACTGAAAAGTAAAACATGTTAGGGTTTGCGAATATTGCCAAGAATCGCCTACAGTCAGATGCTTTTTTGTAGATGTTGTGGCACGTTTGGGCCTCATAGAATGTTACAAATTTCAGTTTTGGGATCGCAAATGATGCCAGATGTGCATTTCGGCCAAACCTTGTCAACTCATCTTGTTGTGATCATGTTTCTTTCATGTGACAGCCAGGAAGAATTCCCGCAGTGGTGTGTTATGACCTATCTGTTCACATGTGCATGCTGTTTTGCACATTTCAAAATGTGCATGATTTTGGCACTTCTTGAAACAACTGTCAGCGCGGGATGTGTGCTGCGTTTCCAAATGGTTAGACACCTTGCAAACATGATATTGATGGAGAGGGTCATGAGCACAGGCACAGTGGTTACCTACGATCAGGCCAAGAGAAAATGACAGAACATGAGTTGACGTGCCGGTTCGACGGGTTTGTTTCTCATGGCTTATCATGTGCGTGGAACTCGGTAACCACCTTTGCTAATGGCCGACTTTTTTTGCAAACTATGCGGCTCAATCCTGCAACAATGTGAAGGTTGACATTAGCCATTTTTGACTCCGCGGTCTGTCCTCGCGATGGGCGACGACGTGCCCGGGATTAATTTAAGTAGTCTGGCAGTGGATTTTTGCGAGCACGCAAAGCATGTGCAGGATAGTGACAAAGAGAACAAGGACAACGAGTCAGACGCAGAAAAAGAGCTGCTTGACCGTCAGGGATGCTAAGGGTCTTTGGGTTTCATAAGCATCGCGCTTACAACATGGACACAACATGCTTCGGGTCGACAGGTTGATGGTGTTGTAAACTTCATGCATGTTGAGAACGAAGGGGCTAGTTTTCAATCTTCTGTTGTCATCAAACCTTGGAAGGTGCTTGGTACAGCCGTGACTTGCATGAACATGTTATTTGATGCAATGCGTTGGCCTTGAAAAGCTCATGTGCAAAAAATTCTTTTGTACGCAAAAGCTTTGACTCGCACAGACAACAACTGTCCTCATGTTAATTAGCTTTTTGGTCAGCCAGTTCGTTTGTGCGGTGTATTTGCCATGTATTGGGGATAAGTGCGTCGGCCGCCATGCTTGGCATGAGATTCTCGCAAGACACCTGGGTAGCACCGAATGTCTGCCCAGGAAAGACGAGAAGGAAGACAAAACTCAAGACCCGGTCAAAGACTCAGATGAGAAAGACAAGGACTGGAATTTCGAGCTTTTATGTTTGTTCTTTGTTTCAGCTTGCGAGCTGGAATTCCTGTTTGCTATTGGAGTTGGTGCTCCATAGCAACGTCAAGTTGAAATAGCATCCGTCGTCATTGCACCATGCCAACAAGTATCCAGGATGAGGAAAAGCCCAAGGAGCGAGAGAAGTCTCGTGAGAGGTCTAGAGACCGCTCTCGGGATAGATCGCGAGACCGGGACAAGGTGCCTTTGGCAGATGGGAGCCAGATTCGCAGTGGTTCTGGCAAGATCTGGAGCATGCATGGGCCGCAGGACAGAGGCAGAGATCGTGTGCCTGCCTGAAATTGTATCTTTGCACCATGTTGTGGCCCTTGAAAGATGTCCTTGATGGTGCAGAAGCTGAGGACCGAAGTCGTAGCCGCGGCAAAGACAGAGAGAGAAGGCATTAATAGTTTTAGGTCTTTGCTCATGTGCAGCTGAACTCTGACTGTGTCTTTGCGTGTCATGGCTATGCTCGTTCCCAGGCGGGAAGATCGAAAGACCCTGGCCATCTCAAACCTAAGTCGTAATGAAGCTTTGCTTGAAATGGAGAGCGCTACGGTGCTGTTGTCGTCTGGTGAACAGCTCGCTGCTGCTTGCTTTGTATTTTGACCAAAATTCTTGATCTGAGGTCAATGAAGAGCATCTCAAAGAGATCTTCGGAAATTATGGAAAGGCTGACAAAGAGAGAGTCTATCTTTTTACATGGCTCTGGAGCTGCCCAAACCAGGTCAAGGAAACCACCTTGGCCATTGACAAAGCAGCTGGCCTGCCTAAGGGTCTGGAACCAAGCTTTGAAGCCAACCTTGATTGCTGCCTGTGTTTATTTGCGCAAGATTAATGCCCTCTTACTCTGTTGCTGAAGTGCACAAGCTGGTTGGTTTCTGCTGCTGTTTTGAGCTTGAGCAACCTGTCCACATTTTTAGATGCAAGAATTGGCAAGTTGGTCATTCCTGATCCAGGCTACGCCTATGTTGAGTTTTATGAAGAGAGAGATGTTGGAGACTTACTTGCATTGCACAAGTGCCGTAGCCCACATGACTTTTTTTCCCCACGCTGCTTCTTACGCGGCTGGAATGGTTCTGAGGCTGACCGCGCCATCTCGCACATGAACAGCGGACAAATTGATGGGAATGTCATCAGGGCCTTGATCTTGTTGGCGTTTGCAGTTGTGTCATTTCTTCATGGCTTGAGCAGATGGACGGCCACTGCACCTCATCCTTGTCAGTCTGCCATAGCTTTTGCTGATGCCCAGCCGGATCTTTTTTGGGCACCTTGTAAGGTCGAGCATCAGGCCGACCGCAAACGAAGGCTTGAATTGAGAACCTGCACTTAAATCGCCTACCTACCATTCGAGAGTCAGCGTGAGGGCTAGATATGGCGAGTTATGCCTTGACCTCTCTTGCACCGCCAAATGTGCAGGAATTGAGGTGTTTTAGGATATGCAAAATGGTATGGCAATTAACGGTCAGAATTTCAGGGAAGTGTTTGTATAGCGCCAGGCTAGAGCATGCGCCAGCCATCCCAATGCGGCCACGAGCCAGGGCCATGGCGGACCCAAAGGTTGAGATTCTCGTGTAGGAGTGCAGCGTTGGGTCAGCCTTTGTGAGGTGCAGCGAACTGCGCCTGTCGCTTGGGCCTTAGCATCTCAACGGGAGACTCTTGCAGAGTTTCCATTGTCATTGGGTGAACTCGTCGAGCTTTGCAACAACTTTCGATAAACATGAAGCATCCAATCCATGAGGCACCTGTGCGTCAGGAACGCGAGCAGCGAGAGCCGCGTGAGCGCGAGCGAGATCGTGATCGGGAGCCTAGAATAGAAGGGAATTAGCTTTCTGGAACTCCGCCACTTAGCAGGTGAGCTTATGTGAGCTGCGCAGACCTGAGAGACAGGACCGCGATCGTGACCGCGAGCGCCGGGCTGAAACTTCCAAGAGGCAAGAATCTAGTTGTTTCATCCGATGGCGTAGTCAAGAGACATGACTGATAGGGAAGATCGCAACGGCCGAGTTCCTGCCTCAGTCTTGCCGTGTTGTCGTGTGTCCCTGTCGCGGATGGGCTTTCACCTGACGAGGACCGGGATCGGGATCGCGACCGAGACCGGCACCGGGATCGGACCTGAAGTCATTCATTTCGTTGGTAATGTAAAACTCACTCCGCAGTTTGCACGCGACTTCAGAGCCATTATGGCCATAGTGTTTTGCTGCTTGAATGGTGGGCAGCAGCCCATCTTACAATCTGAGCATCTTGGCATAAGGATCGGGACCGAGATCGGGACAAAGAGAAGGAACGCGCCAAGGCACTGAGCGTGTGTGTATGCGTTTCTCATAACCTTCAGTCTGAATCGAATGAAGTCTAAGCTGTTTTGCGTAGCCACCATGGTGTCGGGGCTCAGCCCAACGGTAGAGCGCTTAGCTGGTTTGGAGTGGTGGGGCCAGCTTTTGCCAATGTTGCAGATGCCATGCCATCCCATAAGACTCGTGAATCTAGTGGGTGGCAGCTTCCGTCAGGACAAGGAGAAGGCCGAGCGCACTAAGGGGAAGGAGAAGGCGTTAATGGGGCCTGAGCTGAAAGTTTTAAGCGCAACGTGTTGATGCTTTATGCTTTCGCATGTGACAGCCACTTACCACGGCAGAGCGATCATTGTTCAGCTACGCCAGGAGAGGGAGCGAGAAAGGGCGAAGGCAGGTTGTAAATCGCACGCTCGTCACAGCATACGTGGCTCGCTCTTTGCTCGGCATTTTGGGCCTTCCTTGAGGCTCGAGCGAGAGATGAGGACTCTGACTCAGAGGACTCAGAGGAGGAGTCGATTCCGAAGGCTTTGGTGCTTTTTTGAACATTCTTTCTTGCTCAAGCCAAGAAATGCAGGCGAAAGCCAAAAAGTCAGCCCCAAAAAAGGAGGAAAAGGAGGACAAGAAAGAGGAGAAGAAGGAGGAAAAGAAGGACTTGCATTTCAGAAGCTGGAGCTTTTAAGCCAAGGGCTTGAGACAAGTTGGCTGTATACATTTTCCCAAACGTGCAGGCTGCAAGCAAGTACTTGATGAGAGCTGTAAGATCTCGAACAAACAGAACTTGACGTGAACTGTTTACAAGGCGCACTTGGGAGGGTGAGTATGGACTACAAACAGTTCCGCAGTACAGTGCGACTGAGAGAAACTATCGACAACCTGAAAGTTGTGATGCAGTCTTTTCAAAGAAGCGGTGAACAGAGGTTGACTTGGCTTGTCCCAGTCTGGCCAGCATGACAGCACATGGGTGTGTATCGTAACTTGCAGCAAGCAGGCGGGCCAGCAGATGCTTTCTTGCGCATGTGAGCCCATCTTGTCACTTGGTGGCTTTCAGGTCCGGGGTCCGCTAGCCGACCAGACCTATTGCAGTAAGGCAAATGTGTGGTCGCCAGCTGCTGTGCAGAATTGTGCAGATGTCTGGCGCATGCAGACCAGACTCTCGGAGCGTGATGCGATGGCCATGAAGTCCCTGCCTGAAGGCGTTCAGTCACCGCCCCCCAAAATGCGTGTCGTCCCATTTCGAGCGTGCCCCACTGTTGGCGCATCTTGGTGCTATATTGAAAAACGCGCGCGCAAACCTGTGGCATGGAGTAGACTCGAGTAGACAGGCGAGCACTGCTGCCGCTCTTTGCTCAACTGCCCTAGCCCACTCAGGAGGATTTTTGGACCTTACTACATTGTGGACTGGCATGGGTCTGTTGGTCCAAAAGTGGACTTCGCGTGCGCCCAAGCCTTGCGATTTTGCGTGGTGGTCTGCGGGTGTTAGACCCGCAGCAACAAGCAGTTATGCGTGACAGCTGGTGGACTCGGAACGCGCTCTGCGCTTGGCTGCATTTTCAGGAGTTCTTCTTGGATGACAGGCAAACTTCGTGCCGCTGAAGCATGATCTTCGCACATTTTGAGGGCCAATGATCAGAAAGACTTGTAGCACAACTGTGCAAGCTACATTTTATACCTTGCCATCAGGCGGCCCCCCATGAGGATCCAGCAAGTCCCCATTGAATTCCCATTGCAATGCTAGCATAGCGTTAGCCCGGTCCTGGCGCTAGCATTCGTGCCTTTTGATGCCATGTGCAATCTTACAAAACGGTGATGATGATGATGATGATGAAGATGATGATGATGTGTTTGTTCTGCTTAAGACACAATGCACCCTCCGCCCAAACGCTTTCTGAATTTGGATGTTTGATTTTTTGAGAACAGCAGAGTTTTTTTGAGTTGAGCCGGGGTGCCGAATATGCCAGCTTCGCTCAGCGTATCCCCTGCCAATTTGATTGTTTACAAGTTTACGACTTGTTGCTTGAAGGAGACAAAGGCGCCGGCAAAGACCAAGGCTAAGGCAAGGTGAGATTATCATATCGCATGTTTCGGAGGATTGAAAAGGCATTTGACATGTTTATAGGAAACAGAAGAGAAGAAGAAGCCGGCTGTGAAGAAAAAGAAAGAGGACGGAGTTCAGTCAAGGTGCCTTCGTCGACCATCAGTAAGTTGAATCATGCCAGGCTGATGCTGAAGAGAAACCCAAAGTTAAATCCAAGGCCTTATTGCTTGTCTTCTCGTTGTGAGCAACAACAAAACATTGGCCGCTGGAGCAGACTGCCGAGAAGCCTAAGACAAAGGAGAAGGACGAGAAAGCCAAGGCATGGGAACGACAACAATGGACATGGTGCTTCGCAGAATGTCGCAGACTGCTGCTTGCCGGAATTTTGGCTCCAGGCCAAGCCAAAGGCCAAGGAAAAGGAGGAGAAAAGCAAGGTTGCCAGCTGAATCACGTCAAATATGGTACTATGTTAAAAAGATTCATAGATGTAGCGCTGTATGTTGGGCCTCTGGTGAGCCTGGACGTGACAAGGTGGCTGAGAAGCCCAAGGCCACAAAAACCAAGGCTAAAGAGCCCGAGAAGGTTGAGAAGGCATGCAGTCACTGCCGTGCTTGCCTGGAACACTTTGCTAAAACCTCAGGCTTCCTGCCTGTTGCACCGTGTCTTGTTCTTGGCAGATGCTGCCCCTGATGTTCTCAGCTACAGTATGCGAGTAGATGGTATTCTGGAACCGCAGCGTTTTCGAATTTGTCTAGGCAGAGAAGGCAGACAAAGCCAAGAAGACTGATAAGGCGAAGGCCCAGGCAGACCGACACGAGAAATTCTCAGACATTGCGCAGCAGATTCCCGTTTCACAGGCCGGCGAGGCCGCAAAGAAAGCTGTCAAGGTCGTGGCGTGGCAAGCTGAGTCCTACCCTCTTGACTGAGTTCCGCTCTGAGGCCACAATTTCCAAGGAAAAGAAGCCAGCCTCAAAGGATCCAAAGGCCAAAGCGAAAGGCTCTGCCACGGTGTTGCTGTGAGATTGGAAGATAGCGGCTAAAGCAACCCTACAGGCAAGGCCAAGACAAAGAAAAAACAGTCAGCAGCCATGGTTGACTTGCAGTGCGTGTACACCTCCTGTTTAGACAACTTCCTTGCCTAGGTCCAGTGAGAGCGAGTCCTCGAGCAGTGTGGCGACCTTGGCAGTCAGCTAGGATGCCTTCCGATAGATCTTTTTGCCAAACTTGCAGTGTCTCTATGGACTCTATGGAGCACTCCTAAGGGCTCTGAGTCTGGCAGCGGCTCTGAATCTTCATCGTCCGCACCCCCTCAGAAGAGGCCGAAATAGCATCAGCCTTTGACATGAAATCTGAAGCCGAACTGCGAGATCGTGCAAACAGCAAGGGATATAGTCCTAGAGGCTGCGGTAGCGTTCAGCGACAGCCGTTCAAGCAAGAAGATCTGCTTTAAGATGATGCGCTGGCGGCTGGTTTTGTCTTGCTGCAGGCGAGTATGAACAGTGGAAATTGCCAAGAGCGCTGCTGCTTCTTCAGCGGTCAAAAAGCACGCGACCCTATCTGAGTTAGGAGCACTACTTGAGAGTGCTGAGTGCATCTGCGTCCTGGAGAAGGAATTGCCAGCAACTCCCTTCCTGCAATTTCTGGCCCGTCAGCCCATCTGAGAAGCATCATGTCTACAGTCCACAATTCTAGCATTGAATTTGCTTCAGGCTTCAGCCAGTACGTTTTCTCAATATGTGCATGACAAGGGAAACTGCAGTGATGCAGATGATGTGCACGTCTAGGCTGGTGACGGAAAACTTCAGCTTAAAGCCGACAGCTGGATGCTCAGAGCTGTATTCGGGCGCAAGAGCAGAAGGCGCAGTCGCTGCCATCTGTTGCACCCTTCGCACCAGCATGGTTGTAGGATGCACAG